TGTCAACTATTTTTTAAATAATAGCTACCAAACATACTTTGAAATACCTTAAAAAACTGAAAACTTAAAAATGATTAATTCCAAAATCTTTAGCATAAATCTAAACAATATGATTTAATTACCAGACCAGATAGATCTTTATTTTTATGCAGTAACAATTATTTAAAATTAATGATCTTTTCTGAACTCACTACAGTTCCCTAGCCAAAATATGATTAACTGCGAGCATGAGATATTCACATAACAACTTTTTAACATGGCCACTGCTGTCCTTTAGTGAATGAATATTAAGGAGATCAAACAGGGACATTGCTGGCTGTAGGAGCAGTAAGAGGACAATGAGGAGCAATTAGAATAACAAAGTAATAACAAAGTAATATTTGAAGAATTTAGTTGCTTGAACGTTTTAACAATTGGTAAAAATTATTGAATGATTAAATTAATAATTGATTAAACATTCATTTGATAAGTATAAACATCACAATCATACTTCTTTGCAAGTATCATACCAAATCATGTTAGTCAGACTTTGATGTATATCGGTGAAAACTATATATATGTAGGTTCATTTTTTATTCTAAGAAGGTATGCAAAATGTTAGTTTCAACTTATCAGTCTAAGATTGTGAAAAGAGGATTATAAGTCTATACTTGCAATGATATCCAGTATACACAAATAATATGCTTTTTTCAACTGAATACATTTCTATAATTGAGGACATTCTGCACCTAAAGACTTACAAAGAGGTGGATAAAATAATTTTGATTCTTATTTTGACTGGCAGCTGGAACTGCACCATTTATATTGAAAAAATGTGCAGATTTTAAATTCTTTAAAAGAAAAAGTGTAATTCAAAGCTCATGATAGCCTGCTACAATGCTAGCAGTTTCATAATATGCTTGCAAATGCAAATGAATAAAAAATGCTCTCTAATATATGCATATATATATTTGCAACTTAACACAGGGTTGCCACTCAAACAGGAGAATGAAATTCCAGGTTTTCCAGGTATGTTTCGAGAAAATTCCAGTCTATCCGCGTAATGTACGTTCGCTGTGCTAAGAGGTAAATTAATTATGGTATTACTTGTACTGTGTAGCAAATTCACTTAATTATTCAATAAATCCCAGAGGACATTTATTCTTAATTATTCTTAGTACACTTTGTTTGATAATTTTGTTTACTTTTCTGCTTAAAAAACTTAATAAAATTTAAGATATATACATTGGATAACAAATGTACGTTTTATTTAATTATTACTCATGATCATCCCCAGTTCAACACGAGGATAATCCGGTTCTTATAAATCACAACGCAATGCTAAAAGTTAGGTTACATTTTAGGTAAATTTAATTTGTGTGAGGTGTATTCTTAAAAGGCAGCTTAACACTTGAAAACACAAATATAATTATAATAGGAGTTGTTTTCTCCACTGAAGATTTAGAATCTGCCCAATCTGGAATAACATAAGGCTTTTTTTGCAGACATCCTGCAGCTAAACGAAAGAAAGAAATCTATTTAATGATATTTTTTTACTAAATTGAGGTATTTTATATTTATTTCGCAGCATACATAAGGAAAACTATGTGCATTAAATTTCATGATGTCATCATACTGCTAGAATTAATTTCAGGATTATGTCAGAGAAAATTTCCTGAAATTTGGAAATATTATTTATTAATGATACATAAATTTAGAGGGAAGAAGCAACATTAAATGATATGAATAACATAAAAATAAAGATAATTACTTAAAAATTTAATTAGAATAATCAATGATATTTTAGCGAATATAGTTATATTACATGGTTATCCTAGATGATTGATTACTATTTTTTTTTTTTTTTTTTACTGCAAAATGACAAGGTATTTATTAAAAAGAAAAAGAAAAAAAAAATTGCAGTAAAATCCTAGTATACGATATGGCCTTCGCATGATTTTGAAAATTGTCGCCAAGAACAAAATGACCCGTTTACTGCTTATCATCATGTCGCCAAATCCCGCTGTAGCATACATGGAGATTATTCTGACCAAAGAACGTCTATGTAAAAAGCGGAGGGAAAATTTGCCAAGGAATTTGACGACGGAACAGCCAAAATTTCCCTCTCCGCGATGTGTACAGGAAATTGAGAAACGCCTATTAAGAAGAAACGTTCTTTGACAAAAAAGAAAACTACGAAAATCCGTTTTTAAATTATTGCGAAAAATCCAAGAAGAAACGTTTTTTCTTGGATTTTTCACAATAATTTAAAAAACGGATTTTCGTAGATATTCCCCCCCCTAAAATAAGTAATCCATGAATTAATTTACTTGCGCCAAAAAATATTTTCTTTTCCTATAGAGTTTAAAGACATTTTAAACGATATTCATTTTATGAACTCTTGATAACGTGACCTTCGAACTTCGACACCGGTTTCGAGCTTTGGTGACAGATATATCGCGCATGCACAGCTCTTTCCCGCTATGATGGAACCGAGCCACGTCTGTTGCAGAAAGGTTTTCCTTCTTTACAACACATATTTTTTTTATTCTAACCTTCTTGGTACCATATACTAGGATTAAATCCATTTTTTGTTTTATACGAGAACAGGTACTTTCTTTAGTTCATGCACTGCACATGCGATTCTCGAGGTTACTGGAAACCAAAAGTTGCAGGAAACTTGCTTTACCTTTCTAAAAAGACAATCAAATTGGAGCTGCGAAAATTGGCTCTATGTCAGCTGCCCGAATGACACTTACGTGATACACAATTCGTCAAAAAAGTGATCTCCTCCGACGTCGGTGCAAAACTCGCCTTTTGGCAGGATCGTTGAATGAAATTCCCTGACTTTTCCAGATTTTGACTAAAACACTTAAATTCCCTTACTTTTCCCTGAATTTTTTGGTCAGTTTCCGAATTCCCTGACTTTTTCCGGTTTTCCAGGTAGCGTGGCAACCCTGTTAACAGATATTAACATATATGCATATATATATTTGCAACTTAACACAGGGTTGCCACTCAAACAGGAGAATGAAATTCCCTGACTTTTCCAGGTTTTCCAGGTATGTTTCGAGAAAATTCCAGTCTATCCGCGTAATGTACGTTCGCTGTGCTAAGAGGTAAATTAATTATGGTATTACTTGTACTGTGTAGCAAATTCACTTAATTATTCAATAAATCCCAGAGGACATTTATTCTTAATTATTCTTAGTACACTTTGTTTGATAATTTTGTTTACTTTTCTGCTTAAAAAACTTAATAAAATTTAAGATATATACATTGGATAACATGATGAAATTGCATTGGCACATTATTAGAAATGTTTGGGAACTTTCTTTAGTACACAGAAAGATACTATCCAATGAAAACAAACCTCATTATTGAATACAGATGGCCATGGCAGTATATCGGTTACTTATCATATAAACCTCTTTTTAAAGGCAAGCATTCATTAAGCAGATAATAGCTGCAAATTAAAATACTAACGCATCATTGTCTGTTTGTACACTGCTTGACACTTAAAATGCAACACCAAGAAGGAGTGGTCAGAAATTTATGCAAATTTTAGAGTAGACACACGTCACTGAGTTATGCGAATGATGTGAAATGCGCAGCTCTCCGATGCACGTGAAGTAAGATATATGGGAAGGAATGTGCAGAATGGGCAATATTCGTGTCATTGTTTCTGCCACGAATTATCGAAGAAAGTTTTGTCCCGGAGAATACGTGTAATAGGAGAGAATGCCAGGCTGCCGTCAACGAAGGTACTTCCAGCAGATAGACGATTTTACGTTATGGTGATCGGACTGAGAAGGACGGGTTGGTCCTTACATCAAATCGCAGCTGATACCCACATGAATGCGAGCATGGTGCATCGCCTATGGCGAACATGGTTGGAACAAGGAAATGTGGGAAGAAGGAGGAGTGCAGGTGAAGGCAGAGTGACGTCAGCACGCGTAGATCGACGCAGCCACTGACAAGCTGTGGCGGTCCCGCAAATCACTTATACTGCGATTCTGCAGCATGTGCAAGATACCCTGGATGTTCCCATATTGACCAGAACCATTTCCCGTCAAACGGTTGAACGTGGCCTGCACTCATGGTGTCCGTTAAGACTACCATTGATCCCACAGCATAGACGGCAACGTTTAGAATGGTGCCGGACTGGAGCGATGTAGATGACAGAATTGCGAAACGTCGTGTTCTCAGACGAGTCCCGCTTCTGTTTATCCAGTGACAGTCACCGCATACGTGTGTGGCGTAAAGTGGAGACAGATCTAATCCAACAGCAACTGTGGAACGCCCCACCGCACGACAACGTGGCATAATGGTTTGGGACACTATTGCCTACTATTCCAGGTCACCTCTAATTCGTATTCAGGGCACTATGATGGACCAATGATACTTGGATAATGTACTGTGGCTGGTAGCAATCCCCTACATTCAGGGCTGCCTAATGCAATTTTTCAGCAGGATAGCACCCGACCACACAATGCTCGCATCTGCCAACATGCTCTGCAAGGTATACCAGAAGCTTCCCTGGCCACTGTACTCTCCTGACCTGCCTCCAATCGAAAATGTATGGGATGTGATTGGATGCCATTTGAAGACTCCACCCGTCTCGTTCAGAAGATGAACTGTGGCAAATGGTTGAAACTGAATGGAGAGCCATCCCTCAGGACACCATCCGCACTCTTATTGACTCTATGCCTAGGCGTGTTTCTTCGTGCATCACTGTCCGCGGTGGTCCTACATCCTACTGAACGGACGCCGTTCTCTCTGTATTCTGACTATCATTTTGAAATAAAGATCACTTATTGCTGCTTGCTGTCTCTTGTCTTTTTTTTAAATTTCATCACTTTCTGACAACTCCTTCTTGGTGTTATATTTTCAGTGTTGAGCAGTGTATGACTGTTCTCAGGTCACACTTTCAGCATCAAATTCCAATTTTACAAAAAAAGATATTTCAGTCAAAAAACAACAATGATAATAATAATAAATAACCAGTTTGAATTGCATACCTTCTTTTAAGTTCACCAGTAGGAGGAAGGTCCCTTTGAAGTCTTGCTGGTACCATATTCACTATTTCTAAACCATCTGTACATGACGAATCATTTAAAGACTGAAAATTTAATGCAAATCTTGATGAGTACTTCTTCACACTGTTTTTAAAAACTGAATAAAAAACTATTGGGCACAAATTGCAAGTTCATAAATTTTCTTTACAATGCCTGTATATAAAGTAATAAATCTTCTTTTTTAGAGTATTTTTATTTTGATTTAAATTAAAAATCAATTTGATCTTCCTAAAAATAGTTCTCTTGGGTAGCTATGCATTGCCTCAGCTTCGATATAATAGCTATATTACCTGCTACTCTTCATTGCAGAGGGTTGAAACTCTAAAAATGGTTATCCATCATCTAAAAATGTTTCCATCATTCCAAAATGATAATCTTTCAAAAACGTGTTCAGTCTGGGAAACAGAAAAAATCCCAACAGCTAAGGGACAACAGGGAAAGCTTTTCAAGCCCAAAAAGCCATTACTAAAAGTGTCATGTTTAAAAGGCTCATTACGTCCTGATGAAACTTCAAAGATTCTTTGACAATCAGCCTCATACAAACCAATTCAGCTTTTCTGCGATTTATCTTACAGTTAGACAATGGTTCATCCCAAAAAGCACTTGAGTTTGCCTCCATTTTCCTCTCTCCCCCCCCCAATTTTACAACTTTCTAAAGCAAGGATCATCTTTAGTTGATTTACATTCTTTTGAAAAGGCTTTGAACTTCCTAAAAACCTCAATTTTTGACAAAACAGTTTCCATAGACTTGCTGAATTTTTGCAAAAGTTACAGTCATATTGTGCCTAGTTTGAAACAAAACTTGATGGTGCATCATTGCAGAGAACTCACATTACTTATTTTTGTGATGCATTTTAAAATTTACTTTTCAACAAATAGAATAGCACAATACATGTGAGCTCTGCAAACTGCAACTTGAATTCAGATTATGAGAAGTTGACCTAATCATTCTTCTCTGTGTTACGGCACTGTATGACCACATTTTACTATTACTTTATTTACAGACCTCGTACATAAGAAATCTACTAATTTGCAAAATGCATTTCACAATACTTTAATAATTCAAATAAGTTAGTTGTTAATATTCAGAATGTTAAATAGCCAATTTAACAAGCATACAGTTCTTAAGAACTACATAAATACAGAAAAATGGAAAGGAAAATCCATATTAACATGACACCTCAGTCAATAATTATTAATTCCAAAATATCTGAATATTTTTATGAATAATGATAAGATCTGTAATTTTTTACTACAGCACAGAAGTAGAAATTTATATGTTTGAATACTTTTAATTTACTAGCTCTAATATAGCAAGGACTCTAATTTGGTAATTTCATCTAGATTTTAACGTTAAATAAACCAAATTCAGATTTATCTTTAAAAATTATATAACATGGTAATAATGTATTGGTAATAAAATTAAGAATTTCTGAAAAAAAAAAAAAAATAACTCATTTATCAGAATAAATTTTCCTAGGACCTTTTCTTTTTAAATTCATTTTCCAATTAACTAAAAATTTTAAACTATAAATGTGTTTATATATATTATATTACCCATCACTTCCCATGTTAAGACATTTTAAAATACTGATGATGTTATTAAATCTGATTTATCACAATTTTCAGCATATTAAAAAAAAAAAAATTGTACTTACAGGTTATCTAAACCCCCTTTGAAAGTACTCAGGCAATGCACTGTGTTGCCTTAACAGATAATACATGGCATCACCAAATTTATTCATGTGACAACCTAGATATATAGGTGTGTGCACAGCTGGCAAAATCTGATTTCCACCTTCTCTCTCTCGCTTTTTTTTGGGGGGAGAGAGAGTTGTAAAGAATTGTGCAATGATGCCAAATAGGCTGATGTGTGCATGAGAAAACAACAATGGGCACAATGCCAAATTTGTGCAATTCTCTGATTTTTTAAGTGAAAACAGATCGCTGGGTACATGGGAAGAAAAGTAAGCATGGTGCAAAGTTGTGCACAGTGTCGAGGGTCTGCAATTCACAGGTCCCTTTTTTTAAGCTGAAACAGATCAAAGTATATATGGGGAGGACAGAGCAAAAAAAGTAACTGTTTTATGCTATGGATGTTTCTTGCATTTTTCATCTTGTTAATTGGTTGCTGTTTTATGTAATGCATAGTGCACTGTTGTTTTCGGAAAAGGCTATTTCTTTTTACATCTTAGCCTGGTGAAAAATTACTCACCAATAGTTAAGAATTTTTCAACAGGAGGCATTATGCAGATAACCATAGAAGTAGCAAAAATTTGTAACTGATTTGGGGCAGCATACACTACTAGCATTTGACATTTGTTTTATATCAGCATGTATAATTCTAACAACTGTTTACTGAAAAGTTTTTAATTACTTAAAGCTTACAATAAAAATATATTTTATTATTTTTAACAGAAAATTTTAGGATTACTTTAAAATAAAGAATCAAATTCTTAGTTTATTATTACTATTATTATTACTAAATGTATTCAGATGCATTATGCAATAATTTTGAGTATACAATACTCACTGCTGATTTAATTCACTGGTAATAAACTCAGCCACTTATTACATTCAGAGATCCAGGAAGCAAAGCAAATACATACTAATAAAAAAACTGTCATTTATTAAACTGATCTCCACGGTTTAACAAATTCAGATTGGTAAAAGATTGATTCTTCAATATTGGATTATAATACTTGTACCTATGAAACTTCACACGTCATCCACTTAGCATATTGTGGGCCATGGGCTTTATGTTCAGATGTGCAACATTTCAATAAAATGGACTTGACTGAAATTGTCCTACTGCCCAGCATTTATACTGTGAGACACTGTTTTCAGAATTCTTTGTCTCCAATGATCTTCAGGGTAGCAAAATTTTCATATCTCAAGGTTAACAAAAAGAATCTTCTAAAGGCATTGCAAATGAGAAAGAGTTAATTCTCAAATACAGCTAAGGTGATATTGCAACTTCAGTATTCTGTTAAAAGTTTCCACATTCAAAATCCTCATTTTGGAATAGACATACTATATTCACACACCGTTATAAAAAAGTTCATGAAATGCTACGTAATTAAGCCCGAAAACTGTCCACCAATAAGAATGATTTAATCTCACGATATCAACACATGGCTCACAAGTTTAAAAAGTGTTCTTAGACTACCCAAAATGGTAGTGGCAAAATAAGTGGTTTAGCAATTTCTACATTATTCCATAATATTTTGGGTTGCAATGTGTTACTTAAAATGAGAGGTTTATCACTCTGATGTTACATACTGAATTATGAAGATTTTAAACCGTCACAGCCACATCTGTTCATTATCAAGTATGCACATATATTCAGTCTGCGCTTCATCAGTTGTTTGGAAATAAATTTCACATTCTTAATTGGGATTTATTTGTGGGGTAGGAAATTCAATATCTTAAAAAAAAAAATCATGCTAGGGCTTTATTCTTAGGTTCGGTCTTATTTTGGAAAAACATGGTATTTCCTCCTGGGCGTATGCAATATTTTCTGTGAGTACCTCCAACGGTTCACCTCCACAAGAATCATCTTCTACAGATTCTTGGCCCATTTAAAATTGTTTTACCCATTCGTTCACTTCGAAAAAAGGCAAATCATTATTATTATAATCCTAACATTTCATTTCTTAAGGATTACGATTTTCTTTAATCAGAAATTAAATCTTAAATTGATACTCAATTTTAAAAACTTTAAAAAAAGCTAGCTCAATCCAATTTATTTAATTAAAAATTGCTATTACTTGTATACGCGATGAATTCACTGCAAATGATTATATATCCCAAGTAGCACACGACGTTGCAAACTGGTCCGAGAGGTTGCAAAGTGGTCGTAGTAACTTTTACAACGTCTTTACAATGTTGTGAAGACGCAAAATATTTGCCGTTGTATCCTGGCAATTTGTCGACATCTCTCGCAGATCATGATATAACCGCTTTTAGACATGGTCGTTTTAGCATTTTTTTAAGTTCATCAGCATTATTTTTAGAATGAAAAAAGACTAAATCTGCCCTTTCAAGAATCAGAAGTCCGAATAAGATTTACTTTGCAATATTGTGTATGTTTCATTACTTTATTTCATCTAAATATATTAATCTAAGGCAGATACATCTAATGAAATGTAAATTTAATATAAATACTTTTGATTTATTAAATTTAATTAGTACTAAAAATACACGCTAAATAACTGGTTAAAATTTTGTTAAAATAATTAATACTTAAAATATTTTTCATAAACATTATAGAAAAAATATTTAAAAATGAAACTAATTTTAAAGTAAGTTATTAAGTTATGCATTTTATATATTTTAAAAAATCATATTTCCGAAATCAATGCAAATCACATGGTAGCAATTATTTCACTACTGAAATATGACTTTATTTCTTATTTTTGAAGTAAGGACGAATTCACGGCTGTCCAATATATGACGGAAAACTCATCGACAGTCAGAAGCAGAGCTGTACATTATTTACTGGATGCTTATATAAACAAACATCTCAAGATATGCACACTTTGGCTAGCTGCCAAATTCGAACAAGGAACTGCGCTGTTAATTCAGATTCGAGCAGTTCTTTCAAGTAATTTGGTAAAGATGCCATCTGTAAGGCATTTCAAAAGACTGACTTGACTATGTTTGAAATTGGATCAAGCAATGACTGATATAAATAAATATTGCTTATATTAAAAGTAAATGTAATGCATTGTCAATCAAAGAAGGCATTGTGAATCTTCTCATTGTTCTGTATCTACTTACTTCAACTGCCTTCGGCAAGTTAAATTCCACTGCTGTGAACTTTTGTTCGGAAGCTTCATAATTAAGATGAAATTATCGCAAGAATGCTGAATTTGTGCTAATTTTGTGTGTGAATATCTACTCTACAAGAAATGCTACAATGCTAATCGTGAATCTAGTGTTCATGAAATAGTGTTTTTGTGGTCTATAGTGGTCTGTGGAATACCATACCATGTTCGTGATATAGTGTCTATGTGGTTCGTGAAATAGTGTCTCTGTGGAAATACTGTCTGTCTCCAATCACTGTGGTTCCAGCAGTGCAATATTTGGATACACTTATTAGCTTTGTGCTTCGGTTATAGTGTCCTAAGTGCTATATCCCATATCATTCATATTAATCGATTACTGTGTTCATATTAAAAAAGTTGGCTCTCGGAATTAATTCATATCAAAGCAAAAATAACATACAATGGTTTGGCCATTTCTGGTTTTGCTGAAAATGCAATTAATACAGAAGCAACAACAATTCAAGCTATTACGGTATGTTCATTATTTTCAAAATATAAAGAAATTATTGGACTGGTACCAATACTTAATATGGCTGCTGAAGATGAGTTAGACATATGTATAATATAAGCAATTAATTAATTATTAAAATTATTAATAATGCACATTCTATAACACGTTGTCTTTTGTACAGTATGCAGAAAAGGTTATTTTAAACAGTGTATGAAATGTATGATCGAAAAACTAGTGTTAAGAAAACATTAGCATTTTTATGAAATATTGTAATCTATAATTATGTGATATTTAATTGTGTAATATTAAAAAACACTAAATATTTTTTATTGATTGCAAATTGCAGTTTTATTACTTTTCATTTGGTATTACTTTTCATTTCTTCCAAACACTGCGTAATTCGTGATTTTTTAAATATTGCCGTTTATGTATGTGTATTAGATTATCTCAATAAATGAATGTTGGAAATTAGGTTTTATTTTTTATAAAATTTAAATATATTCTATTTTTGTTCGCTTACTTTTTATGTGCTTGTGATAACAAAGAAATTCATAATAAATAGAAACAAAAAGTTCCATCGTGTGCAATTTAACAAAAAGCTTACTTTAACGTACTTAACTTACTATCATATACTACATTATTTTAATTATTTCTGCACAGTAACAAAAGGAAAGTTATTCATTATAAAAAGTGCATGAAATAATCATTGTAATCTACCACTATTCTAAAATGTAGAAACTAAAAATAAGTAAATACATTAGCATATGTTCAAAAGAAATGGTGTTAAGAAACATCAGCATTACTAGCAAATACTGCAATCCATAATTATTGTACTTTTAATTGCTTAATATTTAAAAAACACAATTTTTTTTATTAATTGGAAATTTTAGTTCTGTCACCTTCCTTCTGCTATTTATAGTTTCAAACACTAGTTCATGTTTTTTCTTAAAAGGCGCTGTCATGTATGTTGTTTGTTAGGCTATTTCATTTTAGATATGAATATGGGAAGTTATTAGATTTAAGTATATTTTTTATCACATTTATTAACTACTTTATACTGTCTTTCATTTGCATATCTTGGAGACATAGAAGTTAATGGTTATATTTTTTAATGTGAAACATGAATAAATTTATACTTAAGTTCAGAAAAACCGCTTCCTAATTTATCGTGACAGAGGCAATTTTCAATGTCTCTGAGATTTAACAGAAATAAATGTGATATCAGAAATGCTTTTTTTTTTAACCCACATATATATCTTTACTTTTATTTATGTCTAATTACTTAAAACCTACAATTAAAGCTATTATCAATTATGCATATTTAATCTAAAAAGAAATTTAAAAACTATAGTTTAAAGTACTGAAAATAAATAAAGCTGTTATTAATTATGCATATTTAGTCTAAAGAGAAAAAAAAATTATTATCTTCTGGTTTTCAGGAAATGATAAAATAATTAAACTTTAGATAAATACAAGGAATACAAAATTTTAAAAAAGAAGAAAAATATATTAATTATTAAGCTTATTTTCTGCATAAATCAATATGTAACACAAGGACAAAATAATGACACTTTCACAACTGTTGTAAAACGGTGGAATTTTGCGAACATTTAGGCATCTTTAAGACATCGTCATACGATACTTTCACAACCAAATTATCACCTGCAAAAGACGCAATAACAATGTCTATGTGACAAAAACCTCATCTGCAAAGATGTGATAAAGACGTCCTTGCAACGGTTGCTAAACACTGGAGTTTCGCGGACATCTGGCCGTCTTAAAGACGACATATTGCAACATTTTTGCAATGACATCTGGGATGAGTTTGCAACATTGTTACGATGTTTCTGTGCCACTTGGGATTTATTCGAGACCAGAAACATTTTGATTGTCTTAAGTAACTCAAAAATTTCCATTAGTTCTAGACAGCATGATTGCTTGCAGAAGCATTCCACATGTGCAGTTTTGTAATTGTAGTAGTATACTATTCCTTTATATCCTCCTTTTTTATGCATGATTTATCATGTAAGAATACATAAACATGAAGCCCAAAAATTGTCCAACAACAAGAATGATTTAATCTCAAGGATATCAATACATAGCACACTAGTTTAAAAAGTGTCCTTAAATTACCTAGAATGAGAGGCAAAATAAGAAGTTTAGTGGTTTCTTACTTTATTTGATAAAATTTTGAGTTGTAATATGTCACTTAAAAAGCGAGGTTTATCACTCTGAAAATGGTTATTTATGGAAAAAATAAGGAGAGTGTACAGAATTAAACATATAAATCTGATACTTACAGTTTCACTAACACCATTTGAACCTGTAAGAAAGAAAGACAATTATTTATCCATGTTATATTTAAAAACAACTGAAAATCTTCTATAAAACAAAGAGAATGAATTTTACCTTTAGAGTGGAATAAAAATGTTAAAATAGATAGAGCAAAAACATATACAAAAAATCTGATGTGTACACCACATGACTTCCTTATACGGAATATTAAATTATACGCATTTTTTCTTGCATTTCATTTAACTTATTAGATTCAATTAAACCTACTTCGCATAAACCACAATAGAATAAATGCATTCTTTACAATTCACTTTGTTTACCAAAGCGACACTCTGGCGCTAGGTTTACTTAACAGTATTATATTTTCGTTCATATTATAACTCAGAATGCAAAAAATTTATATCATTTAAAGAATTATCTAATCGTTGCCACATGTTCTATTCAAATACTATAACAAAGCTAGAACGATGTATAAAATAAATTAAGCAAACAAAAGGAAAAAGAAACAGTTTTTCAGAGACGATTGAGTATTTCTCATTCAATTAATTCAGTTTTCACTTCGCAACAAGGCAAAAATACATAAAAACTCAAAATATCTGCATTAAAAATTACGAAGTAAATCTTAAATACTTATTTCCTCGAAAAAATACCAGAAAGGATTAAGCATGATTTAACTTGCAATAATAAATGAAGGCGTTATTTTTGTGTTGCGAAGCTTAGTCTCTCTAGATTGCCAACAAATCTACAATTCTGATGTTTCAAATGTAAACAAATATGTCCGCCATGTTATTTAAAACTTAACCGCACTTAAACAGCTTTTAAATTGTTGATAATTGTACAAATATTGCTTCCAGAATTATGAAAGGCATAAAACATTAACTGGAAGATAAAAACAACAGAATTCAATCATTTTTAAAGCAAAAAATGTACAATTTACAAACATATAAGAGTAAAGAAATTGAGATCACTGAGCCGGGTAACAGAGTGGATATATTTATAAATATATTTATATACGTCTGGCACGGCTGATTGAAACCAAAATACGAGGTGCACATCTACATGTTATAGTAGTCTTATATACAAAATTTCAACGTTCTAAGGCTACTCGTTTTTGAGTTATGCGAGATACGTTCGTACAGACGCCACGAAAAATTCTCTTCAGAATTCATTTTAAAGCAGTTTTTTAGTTTTTTTGGAGGAAAAGAGTCTTTTATTCTGTCCTTAGGTATATCAAAAGATAGATAGATCAATAGATAAGACGTATCAAGCAAAAACATCGTTCAATTGCATTCAAAAGCGGTCAAAGTGGATATTTTCGTTGAAATATGCTGCCTGAAGCTTTTCGCGATTACAATACTTCCTTTTTACTTTGTACAAGGAAGTAAAAAGGGGGGAACAAACTTCCTACATGCAATATAGCAACATTTACTTATCCTTTTTTTATTTATTTGTTTACATTTTAAAACATTTTTAATACCTTTAAAAAAGGCATCGAATAAATATAAACATATTTTTCAAACTTCTAAAATTAAATATGAAGTATTCAGTATTGTGGTTTTCTGTAGTCTTTCAGAATAAGACAAAAAGCATGTATGCATAAAGAGAAACTTTTAACACAGCACTCATAAATTTAAAAAAATAAGCTATCATTAAATATTATGCATGAATATCATATATGGGACATATATAGTATATATATGTAGGACACTAAAAAAATTTAATTATTACCAGAGCCCAGATTTTGATGATATAAAAATTATCTGAAAGTGTCCTTAAAAATGAACAGAAAATGCACTTAATGCAAAAAATGCCCTTAAAAAGGTCTCCAAAAATTAAAGTAATTAAACATGGAAAATGACAGAGTTGACAAACAGTGACAAATGGATTAAAACCACAAGTAATTAAACATACGAGTCACTTGATTTCTAATCTTTTTTCTGAATTTTTAACCTTATATTACAATTGAACCGAATTATTAAGTGCTTCTTAGTATTTTTGAACATAAAATATTTTCTATTGTCAGTATACAGGAGCGTAGCCAGGGGGGTGCCCTGGGCGCCTCTCCCACTTCACCACTACCTATATTTAAAAAAAGTGCTAATTAATCTTCAATAGATAAGACGTAAGTGTTTAAAATATTGCTTTCCACTTCCCAAAAAATACATGTGATTAACAAAAAATGAACAGAAAGTCTACGATTTTCCATTTAGAAGTAAGATCACAAAAAATCATCCTTCCTTAGCTAACAAGTGGTGGGAAAATACTTCAAAGGTTAGGGGACACTTTCAAGTTGTAAAGATTTTGTTCTTTTACAGCTTTGAATAGCCCTCCGTATCCGGTCCCACTTTCCCTCTAGCTATCAAGCCTAATGCCACTAAAGAAGAAAAAGCCCTTTCATTTCGGACCAAGCATCTAAATGCATAATATTTAACCCTTTGCAGCGCACTATACGTTAACGTCGGAATTTCAACAAAAAAAGTTGCATGCAGTCTATTTATTCCTAAAGGAGTATACAGATAAAATTTTGTAGAAATTGCACTTATCGTTTTAATTCTGTGGGTGTTCCATGAGGTGGAACACTGCGCCGCCAGAGCTTTAAATAGTGCGACTAAGTGAGCATTGCAATGAAGCACAAAAATGAGTAGAAGCGTTTGTATAAGAATGAAAACTGTGTATTATGGCTGTATACATGGTTTCCTGGATATACACAATATTCTTGAATATATACGGATAAATGAGATAAATATCTATATGCACAAGTCCTATATACAAAAATATTTACAAATTTTCATATTTCTTAGCTTCGTGAAATTGTTCAAAGCAAGTCACACCTTTTTGATGGAAGCACAAACCAACTTTGCAGGTTTTGCACATAAAACTTGTTTTGTACAGCTTCTGCTTCATGCTACAATGTGCACATCATCTACGCGTACCCTTCACCGGTATGTGTTCAACACTACTGTAGCGTTTTTCCCTGGAAACCTTTACTTTATGCCTGAGAGTATCTTCAGGTCTTGAAAGAAGTCGCCTCTTCAAAGTTATCTTTGATGCTTTCATGGCACAGAGTGAACACAGCAAATTTAAACGGAAACCTTTGGGCTGTAATCCGAGGGTAATTCATGAAACACTTTTAGCGCTTCGGAAAGTGTTAGACCTCTCCGCGCCATTTATGGAAAATTAATAATAAAAAAATTAACTACGATTAATATTAACAGTAAAGGAAAATAAGCCTATAATATATACATACATGAAAAATATCTACACAATTATTGAAAAAAAAAAGGGGGGGGGAATGAGACTAAAAAGCGACAGCAAAAAATTCGCGCAGGTCTAAGTAAAAATGAGTCAAGCTACTAATAAAATTCCCGCCTAAAAACTACTCCCAAAAAATTCGAGATGCCAATATTAGGGCTTTCCTAACACAAAACACACCTCACACTGCAATACTGCTTTGTTTGAATTCATTTCCCCCAAAACAACGGAAACAGAAAACGTAAACAACGGATGTTCTCTCCTAAGCACAGATGTTCTGATTCGTAACAGCATGAGATCGCTAAAGGCGCAGTGTTCCCACTAATGGAACACCCGGTTTTAGTCAATGATTCTGCGTATGGTTTTTGTATGAAAGATTTAAAAAATATATAGAACAAATAACGCCAGCAAAATTATGCCTATTTTTTTTTTTTTTTTTTTTTTTTTTTTCCAAATAAAATTTTTTATATCATTAAAAAATAGAGAAAATTACCTGAAAAAAAGTGAATTTTAATAACACATAATAAATGAAAATTCTGTGTCTCCTTGTGATATGCTGCTATCTACTGTTTAAAAAGAAAAGTTCAAAGTATATTTATAAAGGCACTTTTATCTACCTACGGTTGAATTTAAAGGTTTCAGAAGCGATTCAATTTGGGTGTTCCATGTAGTGGAACACTGACTGAGCCACAAAGGGTTAAAAGAAAAAAAGTATTTAAAAAAATAAGTTGGGGTATTTAATTTTGAGATTTGCTACTTATTATCTAAGTACTGCACAAAGGAGGGAAGGAAACACAGTAAAATAATTTTGAGCGATTGTTTTTTTACATTAATTTTGAATTTCAGTTAAGTCAATAAGTATAGCAAAAATATTAAGCTTTTTTTGGGGGGGGAATAATGTAAAGAGCGTGCCAGTTTCAATGAATTTTATTTTCTTAGTCCTCCAGCAATTTAAATTATTGTTATTTAATATGATCTAATAGGGTTAGTCATCTAGCAATTTAAATTATTATTATTTAAAATGATCTAATAGGGTTAGTCATCTAGCAATTTAAATTATTGTTATTTAAAATGATCTAATAGGGTTAGCCATCTAACAATTTGAATTATTGTTATTTAAAATGATCTAATACGGTTAGCCATCTAACAATTTGAATTATTGTTATTTAAAATGATCTAATACGGTTAGCTATCTAACAATTTAAATTATTGTTATTTAAAATGATCTAATAGGGTAGTTGTAAAATACGCAGATAAAAAATTCATTCACTGCCAAGTAATTTATTTTATTTTATTATTAGCCCAAAGGGGCAAATTGCCCAAAAGGGCTATTAATTTTGTTTTGGTATTTTGCTTTGGCTCACCATAAGCGGCGTTTCACTTTTCGAATTATTGCCACTAAATATTAAAACCCTGCATTATATTTAAAGAAACTAAATAATGCAGAAGCTGCATAAATGTATGTATGTTTCTAGCATTGTGATAAAACAATGGTAACTAGAGATATCAAACTTTCAATAATGTAGTCCTTCACTCGAATATAGGCATCTGGAAACCCAAATTTGGAGTTTAGAATTTGCTTTATCTATTTCATATTTTGCAAAACTTTAACGAACTTTTGATTAACAAACTTATTGATTTCAAGGCAAGCAATGGCAACACTGTACGAAAAAAACAACATTTTTATCTCCAGTGCGAAAGACTGTATCACAAACTCTAAATATATCTCTTTTTAGTTTATTTTGTGGTATTTGCTGTTGAATTGAATTTTATGGT